GCGTGGATCCATTAGTGGCCACGAAGGGATCAAACCCCACGACAGCGTATGTGGATTGTGCCACGAGGGCTCCTGCAGCATAAAACTACCATAACCATCCCAGCCACTGTCTTGTGAATGAAACTGTTGGTAATATCTCCTGTCACGCTGGACCAACTCCATTCCATTTGACCAGTGCAGAGATTTTCACTATAACTGTGTATGGTTAGTGGGTCAGTAAAGTATGTTTGGCTGAAGTGGCCAACTCCAAAACATGTCGAGGGAAGTGTAGCTATTATGAATCTGCAGTGTTTGAATTCCAGCGTGGGTCCATAGCTATAAACACAACTTGCAATCTTAATTCCAACCTTCAACAAAGGGTGGTTGTGCATGGTAAAGCATGGATTGTTTGCTAACCAAGTCGGTAAACTCAGAGTCAGTTGAGCCTTTGAGGCAGACTGGAACTTGTCGTTTCTGTAGTCTCTAGCGTAGCTATAACCAGCAATAGTTAAATCGTGAAATTTAGACAACAGATAAACTTGCTTTACTCGAACAAATCTTGTAATGGTCCACTAAAACATTTTCTAGGACTTAGCTTGCCTGGTTGGGAAAATGGACCCCTCACATCAACATTGTTTCCCAAACAGGCTTATTGTTGCTTTGTTGGTGTCTGTATGAGTTTCTGTAGTTTCAACTTCGCTTTTATCTAGCCTACACATGCTGAAGCTGCATATAAAGTATTATTTCTGCAAGTAATGTTAACTCACATTCCCTATGGGACGCATTACTACCGGATAGCCATCTAAATAGTTAATAGGTAACTGTACTATTGTAAGCTCCTCGTAAAGGAGGAGGTTGCAGGGGTTTCATGCAGTTTCATAATGCCTAGAACCCAGCGAATCACAAGCTTAAAAGCAGGTTCTGGAAGGAGAGGGGACCCTTTGGTACTATATAACCCTGTCATTTTAACTAATATCTCACCAGGTCTCCCTCTAGCCCCTGGTGAACTAGAGGTGTCAGGAGACGTCCCTCACCAGTTTAGGCTCAGCTGGAGTCCTCCCTTCACTCTGCAAGGAGAGACTGTCTTCTACTCTCTGGTGGTCACAGACCTGGACACTGGCTCCAGACAGACCCTGGGTCCCCTCTCTGACACTGCCTACACCCACCAGGTGTCACAGACCCAGGCCCTGGATTGCCACGTCTTTCTCTTCTCTGTCTTCTCCCTCAACAAAGTTGGTCTCTCCATCAACTCCTCATCTGCTCCTCCTGCCATCCATCCCTCTGGTATACAAGTGGAAAAATCATTTCTTCAAAATGAAGGGGATATCGGGATGGCTTGAAGCACCAAAAAGGAAGAAAACAAGGGGTCATTACACAGCTAAGATGCACAAAGCTACATGACACCATCCCTATATCTTTGTTCGATATTAAAGTTAACTTTCCTTATGAACAATAAAACAAAGATATAGGGATGGTGTCATGTAGCTTTGTGCATCTTAGCTGTGTAATGACCCTTGTTTCTTCCTTTTTGGTGCTTCAAGCCATCCCTATATCCCCCTTCATTTTGAAGAAATGATTTTTCCACTTGTTTCCACTATTTTTAACAGCTTATGACAACACTGCATTTTATTGTTACAGTCACTCTGATGTTCATGGGTATGTTGTAGATAGGTTACCAAGGACAAACTCTAATTGTTGAAAGCTGTAGCTAATGGGCTGCTAGTGCCTGAAGCAGGAGCTAGATACCATATTCACCTCAGGTATTGTCTTCAACAAGGATGTAATTAGGTTATGGCACATGGTTGTGGTTTCATGGGCAGGCTTTGGTAATCAGGCTACAACCTGGGGGGGGACAAATGAAGGCCCCTTTTTTGCACCTGGCAATGCTCGCGTAACACCGCGCTGACTCTGCCAACCGTGTAAATCAACAGCAAAACGCAAGCTAGCCAGTTGGAAATGTGCACACTGACTTACAGAAGGCACTGGAGGCTAAGAGTTCCTCTGCAGGTCTGTCAATTCGCCTGGTAACAATACGCGCGCACAGCTCGACAACGCCTCTGCATGGCGCATGCGCGCGGCTTACTGATGCTGAGGTAGCAGCAAATGGCGTTGTTCAGTGTCGACCATGGAAGAGCTCCATGATCTACCGTAGTGACTTACGGCAAGAAAGAAACGATCGCTTGATGTCCGTGCACACCTCCGGCGAAATTGGAGACGTTCAGTGAAAAAATCAGCGCTTCAACTGGTTCTGGTAAGGAGATAGCGGGATTGAAGAAGAAGAAGAAGAATATGATGATGATGACACGAAAATCGTGAAGTCGCGTATGAGCGAAGTCTCGCGTGGAGAACTGAAGGTGCGTATGAGGTATTTGGGACATGTATAGGTAGATATGGGCCCGTAGACTATTGCTAGTGTGTTTTGAAGGCCTAGGGAGTCATTCTCAACGAGTTTTTAGGCGTTTTGTACGCGGATCACGTGAGATTTCACTCGTGCCATCCCTATATAGAGCGTCTACCGACGCTCTAATATAACCCTGATATCAGCCATTGTAATGGAGACTTACAATCTCTCTGATTATGGCACAGTCCCCAGGTCAACTCGAACTCAATAAAAACTGAAGTTACCCACAATGACAGCATACGCTCATGAGAAAAGCGCTGTGTACATCACTCATAATATTAAAGGTTTGTCCACATTGACTGTCTGCTCACGTAGTTAGCTACACACGATGTCTCTCCTCAGCAACATTGTCTTGCCGTCCCACAATACTACGCTGTATTGATTTCCAAATGTTTCCAAATTATGGATGATGAGCTAACAGATGTAGGGTAGTGGCACACCTATATTGTCACCACATCAGTCAATGGCTCAGACATTATTGAGGCTGCAGGTCTGAGAGAGAACGACTCGCTACTCTTCTGTCCGACTCTCTAGCACAGCATCACTTCCAGTTCGCTATTGACGACCCAGTGAGATCTGATGGAGATCTCATTGGTGGGTGAATCACTAGTGGGTGTGTGTCATGCATGAGTCTCGGTTACCATACAGTCACCTCGAGGACTCAGTCTGTGCAGTCTATTATTAGGAGACTGGGACTGTGAGGCTCACTGATGCTCTTGCCTCTGTTATCACTCTCTCTCCCCTGGTTGTCTTGTCTCCATGTCCCTATAGTGAAGTTCTGCTAGCCACTAATATCATGTGCGCATCACAGGTAGCAAGTACAATTCAGAAAGAAAGAGGTACAAAATCCTGGCGCATTTAAAAGAGCGCATATAGGATCGTCTACCAAAAGAACGAGAGACACGTATAGGATGATGGATACATGAAGCATGGTTAATAACAGATTTGAGTATGCTGACACCCCCAACCCATCACACAATCCCTATATGTTGCCTGGTGTGCTACTCTTATAGAGGCTAAAGGTTACTAAAAGCACGCGCATTCTTTCACCGTGTCCCTGTTGTATTTATACTGCCACATTCCCTTTTAAACTCCACTTGGACTATATAAGGGTGTTGGTTACTCAGTGGTGTATTGTAAGTTCTGAGTATTGTAATGGTGAATGTTTAATACTTCACCTAGGCAACAATATAAGGATTGTGTGATGGGGTTGGGGTTGTCAGCATACTCAAATCTGTTCATTAACCATGCTTCATGTATCCCATCCCTATCTTGTCTCTCTTTCTTTTTATACGATCCCTATATGCCTCTTTTTTTAAATTCGCAGGATTTTTAATTTACTTGTCTCCACTCATTTTTATATACTGTACTACTACGTATTATCTCTGTGGAAGGGGGCAAGCCCCTATAAATATTTTAATAGAGAAAAAATGCCTGTTGTCGTCACGGAAATGATATGCATACCATGTTTCATCTCCATGTGTGCTGCCGTTAGCAAGTTTGAGGAGTGAAGAAGTAATTTTAAAGAAAAGTGCCTGAGGCTATTTGTTGTTATTTACAAACACGTATTGCTGTGACTTTGATGTTGGCTATTGAATACATTGTGTATATAAACTTTCGCTCACATAACTCTGAGTTACACTGACACATGTAGTATGTCCATTATAACGTATTGCCCATTATAATGTATTGCCTGGGGCAATTTTGTTGTTGTTTACAATGAACAACATTGTTTACAAACAAAAAAGTATGACGTTGCCCATGTGGTTATCGATATGTACATTCCTACAAAATTTCATGGCTTTATCTCTTTCGGTTTTTGAGTTCTGCTGGTTGAACTGGAAGAAGAAGAAGAAGAAGAAGAAGAAGAAGAAAAAGAAGAAGATGAACAAAACTCCCTATCATAGCCCCATACATCTATGATGCTAGGTACCATGTCAATCCCTATATACTAAGTACTACCGTACTTAGTGATACATAGTTCTTAATTGCAGTTAAACTTATTCCATTAATTTTAAGGAGTACAGAAGTCCTGGAGGTTGTGCGATCCCTTTTCATTAAAGGACTTCCATCATTTGTGGAGGGCAGGGATTTGAACATGGACGATCCATTGGTCATCACTGGCTCTATTTCATCTGGTAGATGATCACTAGAGCGTTTGTGCATGTTGTATACTGGCCATGTTTATATTTACAGTTCCCCCAAAGGTTATGGGACTTATCGTAGACTTTAGTTGTGATTTGAACCAGAAGGATGATGTTGAGCTACAGATCAGCTGGGTGGTAAGGATGATACACAATCCATTGCACCTTCAGTTCTCATCATTGTTTCCACTCAAAGTATGGAATGAGGCAGGTGGGAGTAGAGTATCCCGGGGAGACTAGAGTCAGACTGGAGCTGAGTCCTGGGGGCACTGTCTGTTCTGATGTGACAGCTAGTGATACCAGTTGTACTGTGCTCATCCCCAGAGGTGTCTATGACATCACTCTCACTCAGACCAATGACATCGGCTCTACTGTGGAGCATCTCGACACGGTTGACGGTAGATCCACCTTGCTTTAGTCAACACTCTATAATGTCATGTGCTCCCTTCATGATAGTACGAGCATTGGTTGTTGATCAAGCTTTTCTGAGATTGAACACAGAACTGGTACTCGTTGTGAATGTAAGAGCGAACGCTCGCTGTCCAGAGACAGCTGGTTCTCTGATGATGGTCACATTTGGTGCAACATCAGTGGCTGGTAGAGATTGTGACGGTCAATGGAATTCCAGTGAAAAGATCATTTCGTCAGGAGAATCTGTCTCCTTCTATGCGGACACTGACACCATCTCCTTGACATCTGATGAGACCTTTTGCTTTATTGTGAGTATTGATAGAGTACCAGGTGAGTCAAAAAGTGAAGTTGACAGCGTCATTAATATTAAATATTTCTTAGTTATATTTGGAACAACAGCAAAGGACGATTTTCTATCCACCCCCACAAGAGACACTGAATGTGGGGACACCAATGTGTTTGTTGACGGAGCAGCTGGAGGTTTTACAGTGGCTGCTTCGGTGCTGGTGGTGCTATTGGTGGGTCTGCTTCTTGGCTGTAGCGGGATGTGGTTCCTAATGAGGCAAGGTAGTTGCTGCAAAAGAGGAATCTCTGTTGACCGACATGAGAAAGAGCTAGCCGCCATATATGATGAGCCAGCAGCAGTGGGAGGAGCTATTTGCATGTCGGAAAACCAGGCTTATGGCCAGGTTTCACCATGCAATAGAAACTAAAAGCTATATGTATCAGGACATACAAGATGGCTATAACTCATATCAGACAATGTTGTGTAACTCTGCAATACATAGAGCATAAGGCAGTTATTATTGTGTAGTTGTCCAGTGTTCGATCCCTTGATACTTAAGATATCACGACAAATAGATGATGCAAAAGCAAAGCTCTTTAGGCTTGTTGGCTTTCATCAGTTTAAAAAACGAGGTAGCAAGGCAAAGGCCGAGCAACATGTCAACTACCGCAAGCCACTCTCCAGGGAATTGTAAAGGCTACGCATGTGTGCTAAGTCATCCACGCAGGCATTGCTACTGGCATGTGCATGACTAGTCATAGAGCATGGAAAAATTAGCCTAAGAGTATTAGGGACATCGTTTGGGTGCTCGCTTATTCCAACAAGTGGAAAAATCATTTCTTGAAAATGAAAGGGGGATATAGGGATGGCTTGAAGCACCAAAAAGGAAGAAACAAGGGGTCATTACACAGCAAAGATGCACAAAGCTACATGACACCATCCCTATATCTTTGTCTCATATTAAACTTTACTTCAAGGTAAACTGTTGCAGAGTGGAAATGACGGAGACGGCAAGCGCGGCTCTTTCCCAATTAGGGAGGAAAATGTCAGCAGGGCGAGATTGGTTGTGAACAATAACACAAAGATATAGGGATGGTGTCATGTAGCTTTGTGCATCTTTGCTGTGTAATGACCCCTTGTTTCTTCCTTTTTGGTGCTTCAAGCCATCCCTATATCCCCCTTTCATTTTGAAGAAATGATTTTTCCACTTGTTTCCACTATTTTTCACGCCTTATGACAACACTGCATTTTCAGTCACTCTGATGTTCATGGGTGTTGTAGAGATAACTGTTGAAAGCAGAAGCTAATGGGCTGCTCCTACCTGAAGCAGGGTGTATGTGTAGTGTCTCCAACAAGGATGCAATTAGATTGTGGCACATATGGTGGGGTGGTTTCATAGGCAGGCTTCAGTAATCAGACTACAATGATAGCTATAACCTGGGGGACAAAGAATGAAGGCGCCTGGCAAGGCACGCGTAACACGGCGCAGATTGCCAAGTTTCTCCTCGTGCAAATCAACAGCAAAACGCAAGCTAGCCACTTACAAATGTGCACACTGACTTACAGAAGGCACCGAAGGATGAGAGTAGTTTTCTCTGAAGGCATCCAGTCCTGGCTTAGTCTCGTTCGTGGACCAGGTTTACGAGACAAAATGCGCGCGCGCCGCATTGGAAACGCCCTCCTCGGCGCATGCGGCTCACTGATGCTGAGTTAGCAACAAATGGCGTTGTTCAGTGACTACCGAGGAAGAGCTCAACGATCTACCGTAGTGACTTGCGGCAAGAAAGAAACGATCGCTTGATATGCATGCACACCTCCGGCAAATTCGGAGACGTTCTGTGAAAAAATCAACGCTTCAAGTGCTTCCGGTAAGGAGCTAGCGGGTCTGAAGAAGAAGAAGAAGAAGAAGATGAAGAATATGATGATGACACGAAAATCGTGAAATCGCGTATGAGCGAATTCTCGCGTGGACGACTGAAGGTGCGTATGAGGTCTTGGGGGACATGTATAGGTAGATATGGGCCCGTAGACTATTGCTAGTATGTTTTGAAGGCCTAGGGAGTGATTCTCACCGAGATTTTAGTCGTTTTGTACGCGGATCACGTGAGATTTCACCCGTGTCGTCCCTATATAGAGAGTCTACCGACTCTCTGATACTGACTTGAAGGTTGCACAGAATCAGTGATATCCATGATCCTCATGGATGGTTCCGATTATAGGCATCGACCACTGGTTAGGACAGAAAACGAGAATATGGTTATATCATGGCTACACTATAGCTCATTGTATATACAACGCCTGGGTTAACGGTCACTAGGTCTTGGGTTTTAGCTCCGGTTCTTCCCTTCTCCACTCAGTCTAACCAACAATGCCTGGGTAGTTGAATCTATACAATTGCATACTTAGTCCAAAAGCGGAAATTGAGCATTAGAAAATGAGAGCAGATTATTCAAGACAGATTATGAGAAGCTAAAAGAGACATTCCAGTTGATAGGTCACAGCTCAAAGGTTAGAGGAAATGCCTATCATTGACGTTAAACCAACAGTGCACTATTGTCCTAGCTATACTGGTGCCCCCATAGCAGTGTGCATGAATGGAGAAATTGACAGGGTACTAATAGGTAATCTGTGTATCATGCTCTCAACACGGCATCCCTGCTTTTTTTGCCTTGCTTACTATGATAATGAGGTTCTGCTAAGAGATTTTTGCAAACCAAATTCCTCAGGTGACTAGTATGACTGTTTTATAATATCCTCCTAAGTTTAGTACAGATCAGAGTTATGCCGATTGTTAGAGTAATGCAACATTATTTCAACAACACCCAAATATCTACATTTAGCTATAGACAATGTGCTAGCTATTATTGTGGCTAAAAACATTTCCTAATATCCTTTGCAATGACTTATGATTGCAACCAGCTGTGTTTTATACTGCACCCACTAGCTAACACAGAGCATAGAGCTCCTGTATTGAAAGGGCAGCACAGTTCGGCACACATGCAAAGTTTAGCCTTGCTGAGTGTATAGTGAATGGCATTCTGGAATTTTCTAAAGACATTCATAGCTACCATAAAAGGTAGAGATTGACTTAGTGCACCTACATGTGTACTGTAGTGTATAATGGAGAGTGTATTTAGAACACTCATGCAGCATCTAGAATGTTCAGGAAATCTAATGTTGCATACCTACCAACCTGCAGATGAACCTTTGCTTGAGAAATGTGCTTGATTTGTGTCATGATGATGTAACGTAATAACTTCCCTCCAATGGTGTGGGTCTTATGATGCAATTAGGACATGTATGTAGGACATGTAGCACCACGAATATTCAGGAAATCCAATACCGAATCATCCTAAATTCTTTGTCCTGCTGGAACTTTCCACTACATACAGATACTGGATACTGTTGTGCACTCAGTTGTGGAACGAAATGGTGCTCTTGTGCAGCACGAAGAGTTGAACACTCAACATTGTAATGGGCTCTCATCAGCTCTGTCATACAAGAATCAATCAATTTTCAGCCAGCTGCTTGATACTGAAAACTACACAGAGCTTAAATTTCTGTCTATGGTTATTATGGATAATAGTGTTACCCATTGCAGAGATTTTCCCCACTGCATTATTGGCACATTGAAAGAGTGTGTGAGTGTAACACATCTGATCTATGGGACTTTGTGTAGTGATGGTTCGTATGTGGTGTCGATCAGTTAGCCCTCCTGATCCGGTCAGTGAGGTGGACCCTCCCACCACGCCTTCTTAAATCAAGCCAGTGTAGCACTGAACTCATTACTATTGTCCTTTGGCCGATTATTTGCACGTGGTGGCAGAAAACGTGGTAACAGACAAGGTGGTGGGTCCCTCCCATTCCCCAGCAGTCATGTCCCGGCGGCAGCTCTGTGGGTTACTCTGGCTGTGCTGAGCCTCAATGAGTGACAGCTGGGACCCCATGTCGTCAAATTTGAGGTTGACACCAAATGACTTCCACTCGGTGGGGCCAGGGACTTGATGATCTCCAGTAATTATCTAGCCACCAAATTTTGTGTTGGTGCCTTTTTCCATTATAAAGGCATGGGTGTGCATGGTGTTACTACTATATATGAATGTTGGGTGATGAAATATTCACACAAAGTATACCATGAGAAATAATGCCTATATAGCGATCCCACTCTGAAACCAGATTCAAATGAGAGCAGATTGTATGTCTCTGGCTAGAGGTCCCAGACTGGCATGTTGGAGATGGTGAACTAGTGCTCCCCAGGTACAGTCCTCATCCTCTGTGCTCCACTTCTGGAACAGGTCGTACACAACTCCATCGACATTGTTGGAGTGAGTCATCTCCAGAGTTCTGATCCTCTGTCCATCCTCACTCCTCAGTAGAATGTTCCCCAGGAGTGGCTTGTAGTCTGGCCCCACCCTCTGGAGTATGTTGATGGTCCCAAATGGTGTTGGGAACCTTGACAGACTTGTGATGAAGACCTTATCGCCTGCAGTACAGATAGTTAACCTATCAAATACCGGGCAGGTACTATTATTATACATTATCTCCGCTGACAGCCTTCTTAAAATCTGGTGATACAACTGGTACCGGCTGTTTGACTGGAGAGGGGAGAAATGTAACAAGAAATCAAATGGAAAAGAGAGCTTACTTTCACTAGTAGAAGTAGAGAAGGTAGAAGAAACGACTTGTGAACGAACATCGAAGCCTGCATACCATTCACATTATACACAATAATAAGAAGCATAGTGGAACATGTTGCACACTCACCAATGCAAACTATTGCCAGGACTTTATGATTGCCACCAGCTCTGTCCTCTACTGCATCCACCAACACCTACACAAACATGATGTTGAAATGTAAACAGCTGCACACTTGTTCTCGCCAGAGCCGTGGCCACATGGAGCCACGATCGATCCAGTGCCTGTTGAATATAGAGAGAGAGAGGATCTTGATCAGTTGGCCACGGGCGTCATTTTTGTGGTCTGACATTGCTGTGTTGATGTCGCTGAGGTCCAGGTCTAACTGAATCCCCAGTTCAAAGGTCTTGACCATGTGGACGTTGTTCATTAGCTCCTTCATTGTAGGAGGTGGGATTGTTGGTCCTTTAACAAAGTTCATGCACATAATTTATATTGATGGTAAATCTACCAAAAATGCTGGAATACCTCTATGGCTAAGGCCCAAGTATACCAAAGATTCATTCAGGAAGAGAGTCGAGTATATAATATTATATATATATTTAAAACACTGTTTTTTTTTGGATTTTAACATGAAACACTGAACACAACACATGGTAGCGTAGAAAGGGTGTTTTGTGCTATGGACAAAGACCGCACCTCCATCTGGTACAACTGTTGGTGTTGAAGTAGTGCCAAACTCCCTGCAAAGCCTATCAACGGAATCAAGAGCACCAGCTTCAAACAAACATTTGGCTAATGCACGATACGTGGCGATACGTGGCTGTGTGGCCATTCTTCTCAATCCACTTGTCCACCAGGCCAATCCTAGCCAACAAGAGAGACATCATCATGACATGATATGACACACTCACTAACCATGCACTTGCCACTCACTTTTGTTGCTCTAAAGAAAGCATGTTGTCATGTCTGATGGATTCCACTTCAGGCTTTCATTATGCACCCTGTTTTCGGCAACCACCATGGTTTGAAATGTGGATTACTGTAATGTTGTTCTATACACATGCAGGCATCGACATGCACTGTTGACTTTCCTGACAGCCTTCCTGGCAGCCATCGTGCACCACATGGGTGTGCTCCCTCCGTTGCCTCATGTTTGAAAAGCACTTATAATCTTGTTTAATGGCACTAAAGTGCAAACCCTCGGCGAACTGTGCATGCGCGGTACCGCTAATGGATGGGATGGGCTATTGGTATATACCTACTGCTAAAGCTGTTGGTATCGCTCAAGCCGCCTCGTAGCCTGTAGTGCGAGAATAGAGACAGACGGACACACAGACACTACCGTAACCCTCGCTGCGCATGCGCGCCGAGGGTTAATCATAGGAGCAGGTGTATAATAAAGAGGGACAAATAGTTTTACAAACACTGAGCACACACAATAAGACTGTTGGTTCAAGTTATGAGGGCTGCAAAACGACAAGAGTTTTTAGCTGACGACTTTCACCTCAAAGTACCAAGTTTTAAGGGAGTCACTAGGGCTGCGAGTCCACAAAGGTTCTTGGCCATCATCGGTAGCTGTTGTTTTACTGGAGCATGGGCAGGTGGTGGTGGTGGCGCTCCCTGCAGGAACTGCAGTTGTGGGTTGTGTTCTGTAAGGTCCTGATGTGTAGGACAGTTGTAGGAGCTGGGTAGCTCAGTGTACCACTTGGAGTTGGCAACCATTCCCGCCCTCCCGCAACAGTTGCAGATCTGAAGTGGACTCTGAAAAACTGCGGGAAATAGACATCAATGGGAAGAGTAATTGTAGCTTGCATCCACACCCTTTCGTGTCGTTTGCACCCAGTATTATAGAGATAGGCATGCTACATACTCGCTTATAGACCTATACTGATATCTGCAATTCCTATTGCACACAAAATGCGCGCGGTATAACTCAGTGACGGCACACCCTGCCATACGATCTCTGTATCCCTCAAAGTTAGGGTAGAACTACTCACTCATTATTCTGCTCTCCTCTTCAGCTAGCTAGCTTTGAACCTCAGCTTTGAACAAATCGCGCTTTTTCAAACGTGCATGCATTCGGCCGGTCACCGACTGCGACTGCGTAGTGGGCCGAGGATTATATTTCAGAAGGCTCGGTCTCCATATCGTATTGGCCCAAAATCCTAGGTCCTTGGTATTATTTTGTTTTTTTACCCAGAGTTCACCCTAGCAACCATGCTGAAGCCATGGAAGTGAGTTAAACTCACTTCCGTATATGGAACGAATTAGCTAACATCTTTCCCTAACGTCGCGGATGCACGCACATAGGGTTATATATACGCGGTGCAAGCATGCGCTCGTGCATGCTAAGTGACGTCATGAACAAAGATACCTTTGCCCTTACAACTTCTATGAATGAAAATTACGACACGCAGCAGTGGTATGTTAAAGGGAATGTGGCAGTATAATACTAGTAGGTGAATGCAGGGCCTTGTTGGCGAGCTGGAAGAAGCATGCAACTGTATCTGCACGTATAGCATGCCCTGACTTGAGGGGATATTCTAGCCTATTTACAGCCTGCACAGCCTGAAACCACAAACATTCGAAAGAGGTGTATACATCAGGCTGAACGATTAAATTCAGGGTTTTGCTCCTCCTCTTTTTCATTAACACTTAGCCAGCATGAGACACACGTGTCCACCAGGGCCTCCACACGTACGTACTTTATACACGTGTGAGGGGTTAAATATCTAAGTCTATCTCGCGTTCACCTTGCCCGGTAGAAATCTGCCTGTGATTAGCTAAACACGACCGATTTCGAAATTTCAAAGCGCAGCGTGGTTGTAGTTGAGCGTAGGTTCTATTTATCGCTTTGACGACGCACGTCCAACGCCCACTTACGTACTTCGCTGTATGTCACATAAGCAAAGTACACGACGTTCCTTTGACCACGAAAATGCAATCACGCGGGTGCAATGTGCGCGCTTACGCGTAGAGTAGCGAGCAGCGAGCAAGAACCCTCTCTCCCGCGTCTCGCCCGCTACTGGGTGTTACTTTCGAGCCCAGGCCAAGGAAAAGCAAGAGGAGAGGTTTGTTGTTTGAATAGCGTCTATTTACTAGAAAAACTCACGGAACCACACGTGGAACGTATTAAACGCACGCGGGGCATAGCGTACATCCACCGCCCACAATTATTAGCAATATTTCAATTATGATGCAACCTTGCGTAAGCAGTTTCGACTAGTGCACTTCCGGCGGCAAGGTGAACGCGAACAGACTTAATAAATACCATCCCTATATGCATCATTTTTTTTAATTCGGAGGATATTACTTGACTGCACTGACCTTTTGCCGCCATCGGTATCTGCTATAAATAAGCAGAATTTTGATGTATAAAGTATTAGCGCCTAGTATTTTAACCCCTCAACATGTATACACACGTATGGAGGCCCTGGTGGACACGTGTGTCTCGTGCTGGCTAAGTGTTAATGAAAAAGAGGAGGAGCAAAACCCTGAATTTAATCGTTCAGCCTGATGTATACACCTCTTTCGAATGTTTGTGGTTTCAGGCTGTGCATACTTAGCCAGCATGAGACACACGTGTCCACCAGGGCCTCCATACGTGTGTATACATGTTGAGGGGTTATAATACTAGGCGCTAATACTTTATACATCAAAATTCTGCTTATTTATAGCAGATACCGATGGCGGCAAAAGGTCAGTGCAGTCAAGTAATATCCTCCGAATTAAAAAAAAAGATGCATATAGGGATGGTATTTATTAAGTTACTGCCATACTTAGTGATCTGCCCCTCCACAGGCAATAGCAGCTCTGTACTGCAATTCCAGTCAGTTGATGGGGCTACTGGAGACCACCAGATTCCCGTCCAGTCCAGAGCCCATCACCAGTCAGTTCTTCAGACAGTGGATCAACGACGCTGGCCTCTTTGAGGGGTGAGCGGCTGACACACACACACTGTAGGCAGTTAATCAGACAATTTTTAGAGCTGCTACATACAGTACTACTATATAATATGCTAAGCATTCATACGTATTTGCATGTCGAAGCTTTAGGAATGTTTTTACTTGTAAACTACTTTCTAACTACAATGTTTAAAGGACATGGTTGTTTTTTTACCTTTTCTTTGACGTGACCTCATTAATGTTGATGGCAAATGTACCTAGCCTATAGTGTACATTTGCAGTTGCTGCCACTGATTTTTAATCCCTAGTTTCTTTCTATCTGTCTCACTTGTTGTAATTTCGTCTCTCTCTTTTTCGTGCTGGTTTGAAAACAGGAGGAAATTTACCCCAAATTAATCTCGTCAAAATCACATTTTGACCTTACCCTTTTTAAAAATTATAATCACCCTCCTCACCACTCGATCTTTCTTCTACAATCCCATAACTTCTTCACTCCAAATGACTGTAGTGTTACTCAACTGTCAGAAAATGCTATCGTACAAATCGATTGTTTACCCATACTATGAGTGGAGGGATTACTACGTACCTGTGGCAGCATTATAACAACCGGGTGCTCCGCCCAGATCGAGAAATCTTCTTTATCTACCGAAAATAGGTGCGCTGTACGATTATTGCGCATGGCAACTAAAACTGTGCCTCAGTAATGCGCTGCTTAGAGAGTAGCGCGTAGGCCGTAGGGGATTTCCGCAACAGAAGGTGAACTAATTGAAACGTGAGTAGCTTTCAGCCTGAAACAGCTGAAGTAATTAATAATTCATAAGCCCCCTGTTCGAATATACCTGCGGAAACACTGACTGTGTAATGTGTCGACCAGTCCACCTCTCTTCGCACAGTATCCACAGATAGAAAGCTAAGTACATTAATTTGACCATCCCGATCTTTTGTATGATCACGCGTCACCACTGTGATCTGATTTGACCTGGTTGGCATGTTCATCACTCCACCTCCACAGTATCCACGACAGAAAGATCTCAGTACTGGGATTCTGTGCAGTCATGCAGTCTCACCTGATATATATGGAGACCGACCTGTTTAATGGACCCTTCTTCCCTCTGTTGTATGTGTGGCTAGAGAATGAACTGGATGATGAGGAGGACCATGTGGATCCCCATGGAGACCAATACATCCAACAGCTAGCTATGAAGGTGACACGATCATGTTATGCACTCTGCTAATGTGCCAGCTGCGAAAGACATTGAATGTAGTAAAGAGCATCATTGAGCTAGGTTCAGAATATGGCGCATTGCCCCGTCGTGCCGTGCCGCGTCACGTCCTGCCGCGTAGATAGAAATGGAATCTATCCTGGCGGCACGGCACGGCGGGGCAATGCGACATTTGTGAACCTAGCCTAATGGATCTCTGTCCGTCCAGCTGGGAGGGGGAGGAGGAGGAGGAGAAAGTGAGTCAGACGACTCTGAGATGGCCCAGACTCTGACCGAGATAGACTATGAGACAGTCATTGATGACGAGGACGTCGTGGACGAGTTCTTGCTCTTCAAAAACACACTCCACAGTGAGACTGCTGTATATATACTTATCGTTGCTGTGTATGTAACAAGCTACCGTATACTGTGATACTGATACCCCTCTGCTCCGAATAGAGTACACCTCTCCTCTATAAGACACTTGGTTCTTCTCCGCATTAGCTAGTGTCCTTTAATACAGTAAAGTATCGATTGGCATTGGGTTGAATCAAGTGTCCTTTGTAGAGAGGTCGTCCCTATCTTAATAATACACAAAGTATTGATGGCATGGGGTTGAATCAAGTGTCCCTTGTAGAGAGGTCGTTCCTATCTCGGAGGTCAAATAATACACAAAGTATTAGCATGGTGTTGAAACAAGTGTCCTTTGTAGAGAGGTCGTCACTATCTCGGAGGTCAAATAATACACTAAAGTATTAGCATGGTGTTGAAACAAGTGTCCTTTGTAGAGAGGTCGTCCCTATCTCGGAGGTCAAATAGTACACCAAGTATTAGCATAGGGTTGAAACAAGTGTCCTTTGTAGAGAGGTCGTCACTATCTCGGAAGTCAAATAATACACTAAGTATTAGCATGGTGTTCAAACAAGTGTCCTTGGTAGAGAGGTCGTCCCTATGTAAGAAGCGCCCCTTATCGGAGGTTCCACCGTGTCACGATAATTCTCTCACGCTCCCCGCAGCTCTGTCGCAGCAGGATCCAGAGTGGTACTCTCTACTGACCAGTCGGTTGTCTCCGGAGCAGACGGTTCAGGTCCAAGAGTTCCTCGCCATTGCCGACAAGAGAGTCGCTGCCAGACGTAATACACATTTCTCTCTGTCTTACACACAGTGTCTTTTGGGGCGGGTCTGTCGGAGATTCGGGAGGTGCCTCGTTCCAGGCTCTGCACACACAGGTTTTAGGTTACATGTTAGCATTGTGCTCGGAGGGCCTGGGAACAAGGCAAGTAATTGTGCTTGATTAATTCAGGGAGTAGGGTACAAATTAATCAAAACAATAGTGTCTGACACTATCTCACTTAATGTAGAACCTTGTTCAGGGGGACTGGAAGGTGGCCAGATTCATTCCTTGTACTCATAGAAGCCCCTGTACTGTCTCTGTGTAGCTAATTCCTGTGTGGAACTCCTGCATGGTTACCTTATTCTCTGCCTGCATGGTTACCTTATTCTCTAGGCCTGCATGGTTACCTTATTCTCTGCCTGCCTGGTTACCTTATTCTCTGCCTGCATGGTTACCTTATTCTCTGCCTGCCTGGTTACCTTATTCTCTGCCTGCCTGGTTACCTTATTCTCTGCCTGCCTGGTTACCTTATTCTCTGCCTGCCTGGTTACCTTATTCTCTGCCTGCCTGGTTACCTTATTCTCTGCCTGCCTGGTTACCTTATTCTCTGCCTGCCTGGTTACCTTATTCTCTGCCTGCATGGTTACCTTATTCTCTGCCTGCCTGGTTACCTTATTCTCTAGGCCTGCATGGTTACCTTATTCTCTGCCTGCATGGTTATCTTATTCTCTACTGTGTTGCAGAGTCTCGAGCCATAGAGCAGCAGGGAGGCTACCAGTTCAACATCAGTGTTGTACCCAACACATTTGCATTCGGAGCCGAAGGTCCACCTTCTAACTCATTTGGTGGACAGTCCTAGCATTTTGTTATGATTATTATATACCCCGGGTCTAATAATATTCATAGTACCACAATGTTCTGTTTTGTGCTTTTTGTATTATAATTATTTTGTGCCTTGCAGTAGTTTCAAAGGGTATATACGGGAGTGTTTTGTTGGCTTGTACAGTGAACGATGAACGAGCCTAAAGCAATGTTCATAATTATACGCCAACTTCAATCTACACATGCAATCTGTGCGCATGCACACAACCAAAAGGGGTGTAGCTGTTAGCTAGGGACCGGACAGACGAGCCACATTAACTTTACATCCACCAGGAGAAATCGTAGGTCATGATTAAGCTTGTCCCAATTATGATTTTAAAAATTGGCCTATTAATGATAATCCAAAAATGGCGCCCGTTATTATTTTCCCATTATTCTGTCTAAAAAACTCATATGCACATGGTTTGTCACAAACACACACAGCGAAGTCACAAAAGGTAAAACGAAGGCAAACTGTGAATCTCATTAGTTCAGAACCACAAGCGCTGCGCCTGAGCAAAGCCTTGACTCATTAGTTCAAAACCACAAGCGCTGCGCTCAACTTTGCCTTTATAAACTCGTGATGCCGGAGAGAGAAGTTGCGGTATGCTTTGCTGATGAGGGCTAACAAGCCCGAAACAGCTGTCCAGAGCTCCGCATCTTTTTTCTCTTGGCATCACATGGTCTATTGTTACATGTATGTACACCCAGGACAACTCATTTCCAAAAGAGCTGCCCTGCTTAAAAGGCGATTTTCGTGAAAATACTGCGTTCTAAAGTTATGGCGTGAAAAGCAAGTGAACAAGCCAATATGCTAATCAGCACTGGCTTATATACCTCGACCGGGTCCGCTGGCTCTAGATTTCATACTTGCCAACCGTCCCACATTCCGCGGGACTGTCCCGCAAAAAAGAGTGGCGTCCCGCTGTCCCGCAGCAGAGCCTTATTGTCCCGCGTCCGTATGGCACGCGATCCGTAACAATAATCCCCAAGGTATTACCTGTAGGTTAGGGTTTTTGTTACGGTGCCATATGGCTCCGCGTCACTGCATGCGCGCGCAGGGAGTTTCTATAATATAGCTCGCTGCGCATGCGTACGATGTGGAGAGACTTGACCTTTGTCCTTTTGCTATTAGCAGCGATAATGTTAGGGAAACTGGGGAAAGGGAGCAACACAAAGAAGTCTACAAACAAGAGAAGATGCAAAACAGTCCTAATTTTGTGTGTGCATATTAAATAATTGATGTAGTGTTTCTGTCCTGCAATTTTTCTTCATGTCCTGCATTTCTGAACAAAGTGTCCAGTAAAATGAATTTACATGGTTGGCAAGTATGAGATTTGTGTATCTTGAAGGCACATGAAGTCACAACGAAGGGCGTGTATCGACTTCCGCATGCTATCTACTACTGTACCTAGCCCGTGTCAGACTCTCCGCGAGCTACTAGCGGGAGACCACGAGTAAACGCATACTACAAATAGCCCAGCCCATCAATTAGCGGTATAATATACCACGCATGCACAGTTCGCCGAGGGTTAGGTCAGTGCTATTATGCGGCCGGCTGCGATTACGGGGGAGGGCGAGCGCCTCTGTTCGCACGCGACTATCACGCACACTGCTTGATTATCTACTGCAATCAGATTGGCCCGCTTAATTTCAGGGGCGGGCAGTGTCATGGCGGCCGAGTCCCACAGGCGACTGAAGTTTTTATGGATTGTCGCATGCGTCGGAGTAGTAGCTATTCTTTGCTTTCTGTACGTCAAACGAGGCCCTGTGAAACACATCGACCCGGTGAAGCCTGCGGCTTCTTGGGGGTACGGACCCGAGAATGGAGCTGGTGCTACAACACCCAATACGACCTCCAACACCGAAACATCCGGCTCTACAAATCGTAGCTACGGTTATTTACTGTCTTCGACTATCGCACAGCAAAGTTCAGGAGCTCTGTCCGGCTATGGTGACATAGCCGCTCTGGCAGGTTACCTCGACTTGTCAACTATTGAGCCGTATGTTGTTGGAAACTATTTGAAAGGGATCCCAACACAAGAAGAAAAAGGCAGGGCCATGCCACTCAGCACTTTCTACGACTTTGAGAATTTGCAGTATAAAATAAAGTCGTGCTTGAACAAAAAGAAGAGTGTCCTTGAGATGTCCAGTTTTGAACAATTTATCACAAAAACATCTTCTGCCGTCATCTACGCTCATGTTCTTCATGACCTTGGAAAGTTCAAGTCAAAATTTTCCGATGGTAAGCAGAAGATTGTAGAAATTGACAAGAATGATGGCTCAGCAAAGAACGATGTGAACAGGCTAAACGATTGGGCAGCTTACGTCTCAAAAGAACACAATGTGCGGTCTGTTAAATTTAAGATTAAGCAGGTCTTTGTTATAGATGCACGACCAAAAGTTCCCTTAAAAATGCTAACGACGATACAGGACGTATTGGGTTCTGCCATCCATAAGCAATTTTCAATGAATGGCTCAGTTACACTTATGTTTAACTTTTGGCGTGCTATTCACCCTAAGCCAGACGGTAGCTACTTCTACTACGTTCCAAACTTTTATAACCCATGTGATCACCTGTACAACATGAATAATAGCCAGGCTGTCATTAAGGCATCTCAGGCTTTTAGTCGACACCTGAACGACTCTGAAACTGCACCTAGAATCGGTGTTCATATTCGTGCAGAGAGACTGTTTTTGAAATTGAAAGGGAATTTTGTAAAATGCCTTAAAGAACTTGACGATACGATTAAAATTGTTATGAAAAACTTTAAAACCACTCCACAAGTTCGTGTGATTATCGACTTAGGCAAGTATGGTACAACGGGCTGCAAGGCAAATTATTGCTCAAGCTGTTTACTATGAACCTGATGATAATCCGTCGTTTCCTCACACGTCAATGTTTGCAGCATTCGTGGAACGTGAATACCTCTCTACTTCTGATGAGTTGGTGACTGTTGGATATGGGGGGTTTCAAATGATATTGGTTGAGCCAATTTGTTGACCGTCTATTAAAAACAAGGAGCACCTCCACAGGATATGTACCTAACCATAGGATTGGATGTCAAACAGCTACTATGGGAGTGCCTAAAGTTAATTAAAGTTGGACTTCCCATTATGGTATTATATTCGTATTGCGATAGAAAACAGGATGAGAAATACTGCTCTGCATACAGTAATACTATTGCCTAGTGATGCACCAGTGGGTGTCTCTGTTCTTTGAGAAAATGGAGGAGACATTCCCCGGTGAATGACAGACCCATATAAGGAGTAAATGTGTAATCCATGTTGAAAAAGCCCCGCCTTCAAGGCGGTGTTGAGGCGGTGAGTTGCGTGTTCAAGGCTGAATAGTTCGCGTGTGTAGGTTTTACGTGGCGCGTCGTTTATTACACAGTGGTTTTGGAGGGCGGCACAGCCCGACACAAGCGCGCCCTCTTTTTACGCACACCCTCGAGTGCGCAGAGAGATAGCAACCGATCGGGGAGCGTGAGAGACGGCTGCAATAAGCGCTTTAGTTTAGTCAAGCTTGGCGGTTTTGCAGAAGCCACGGGCTTTCTCGAGAGTTCAACGTTACTGGTATGTTAAAAAAGGCGATTTCGTGAAAATACTGCGTTCTAAGTTATGGCGTGAAAAGCACTGTGAATGTGAACAAGCCAATATGCTAATCAGCACATGGCTTATATACTCGACCGTCCGCTTGGCTCTAGATTGTGTATCTTGAGCACATGAACGTCACAACGAGGGCGTATGTATCGACTTCCGCATGCTATCTTACTACTCGTACCTAGCCCGTGTCAGACTCTCCGCGAGCACATAGCGGAGCAGAGAGACGACCACGATGTATAACGCATACTACAATAGCCAGCCCATCAATTAGCGGTAGTGACTAAATGATACCAGCATGCACAGTTCGCCGATGGTTAGGTCAGTGCTATCTATGCGGCGGCTGCGATTAGGCGGCGGCTGGACGATTAGGGGGAGGGCGAGCGCCTCTGTTCGCACGCGACTATCAGCAACACTGTTGATTAACTACTGCAATCCGATTGGCCCGCTTAATTTCAGGGCGGCAGGTCCTGGAGGCCCGAGTCCACAGGGAGGAAGTTTTTATGGATTGTAGCCGGACCGTCGGAGTACGTAAGTAGCTTTATCTTTGCTTTCTGCGTCAAACGCAGGCCCTGTGAAACACATCGAACCGGTGAAGCCTGCGGTTTTGGGGGTACGGAACCCGAGAATGAGCTGGTTGCTACAACACCCAATACGACCATCCAACACGAAAAATCCGGCTCTACAAATCGTTCAGCTACGGTTATTTCTCGTTCTGCGGACATCGCACAGCAAAGTCAATGGAGAGATCTGCCAGGATATGGACGAGCCATAGCCGCTCTGGCAGGTTACCTGGACTTTCAACTTTGAGCCGTATGTTGTTGGAAATATTTGAAAAGGGGTGATTTCCCAACACAACGAAGAAAAGGAAGGGCCATTAGCCAATCAGCAACTTTCTACGACTTTGAGAATTTGCAGTATAAAAAAAGTCGTGTGTTGGAAACAAACAGAGCGGTCCTGAGATGTCCAGTTGGAACAATTTATCAAAAAAACATCTTCTGCGTCTCATCTAAGCTCATGTTCTTTCCTGACCTTGGAAAGTTTCAGTCAAAATTTTCCTATGGTAAAGAGAAGATTGTAGAAATTGACAAGGAATGATGGCCAGCAAAAGAACGATGCTGAACAGGACTAAACGTTGGGCAGATTACGTTCAAAAGCACACAATGTGCGGTATGTAAAAATTTTTTAAGATTATTAAGCAAGGTCTTTGTTGTATAGATGCACGACCAACAAGTTACCTTAACAATAAACGACGATACAGGAAGTTTGGGTTCTGCCATCCATAAGCAAATTTTCAATGAATGGCCATGTTACACTATGTTTACTTTTGGCGTGCTATTCACCCTAGCCAGAAGACGGTAGATACTTATACTACTTCCAAACTTTTAAACCCATGTGATCACTGTACAACATGAATAATAGGCAGGCTGTCATAAAGGCATATCAGGCTTTAGTCGACACACCTGAACGATTCTTGAAAACTGCACCTAGAATCGGTGTTCTATTCGGCAGAGAGACGTTTTTGAAATTGAAAGGGGAAATTTTGTTAAAATGCCTTAAGGAATTGACGATCCGATTACAATTGTATGAAAAAACTTATCGACTTAGGCAAGTCATGGTACAACGGGCGGCAAGGCAACTTATTGCTCACAGATATAAGTTCGAAATTCTTTCAGAAACTGAAAAAACTCAATTTAGAAGTGTTTACTATGAACTGAGATAATCGTCGTTTCCTCACACGTCCATGTTTGGCAAGCATTCGTGGGAAACGTGAATACCTCTCTACTTCTGATGCTGATGGGGACTGTGGATATTGGGGGGTTTCACATGATATGGGTTGAGCAATTGTTGACGTTCTATTAAAAAAGGAGCACCTCCACAGGATATGTACCTAACCATAGGCTTGGTGGATGTCAAAAGCTACTATGGGGAGTGCCTAAAGTTAA